CACGGCACATCACCGCCCATCACAGCCTGGTCCAGCATGGCCCAGCCAAGGACAGCACATCACAGCCTGGTCCAGCACGGCCCAACCCGACACATCCCAGCATAGCCCAGCCTGGCCAGTGTACGAGACTGTGTGACTTGTAAAACCATCTGACCTGAGGCAAGTTGGTTTGGTCATCCAGAATGCGCAGAATTCCATGTGGTTTGGCCATGATAAGGTCTAAACAATTCCGTCGATCAGATACCGGAATGAAAGCCCAATCAATCTGTTCCCGGGAATATTCTTCCTATGTGGAATACAGACAGAGTGGTAAAGTTAGCTATCAAATCCACCTTTATTAGGAAGTTAGAAATACGATTTGAACTAACTTACTAAAGATCGTAGATAGTCGTCGAGTCTTAAAAATTGTGCATGACACAGTACTGAATTATAGAGCTTGAAAGTTTCGCAGTGCAAAGGAAGGCCATTCAACCCATTGTGTCTGTACAAGCTCGTTACTAGACCAATAAAAAATAAATCCTAATGTGCTTCCTTCTCCATAGTACCTTTGGGATATCTAAAAAACCAAATATGTTGAAACTCAGATAGCCAAGAATGGAATACCAAAGTAAAATATTTATTCACTGATCAACTGTTATTTGCAGATACATATTTTACAGCACACACTGCCAACAATGCAATCCCCTTTAAGCTTGTACTTATAGAAAGAAGTATTGAGGAGTCCCACTCAATACCCACCCTGAACAACAAATTAATATACTGTCAATAAAAGAGTTCTTGTGGAGCAGTGTTAACATTCCTATCTTTAGACTGGGAGACCCGAGTTCAAGTATAACACCTATGAACAGGTTGGTTAGGGAAATATCTATGCAGTTAACAAAAGACAGACCTGTGTACAGCATTCTCCCACTCCATAAATATATTCAGTTTTCCTACAAGCAATGCTTATCCATTCCACATAGCAAACTATTCAATATTCTGGGCAGCATGGTGGCTCAGTGGTTAGTACTACTACCACATGGTGCCAGGGATCCGGGTTCAATTCCAACCTCTGGCGACTATCTGTGTGGAGTTTGCACATTCTCCCCGTGTCTGCATGGGTTTCCTCTAGGTGCCTTGGTTTCATCCCACAGGCCAAAAATTTGCAGGTTAGGATGTTTGGCCATGCTAAATTGCCCTTAGTGTGCAGGCTGGGTAGATTAGCCATCGGAAATGCAGGGTTACAGGGAGATAATAGGGGTTGGGTCTGGGTGGGATGCTCTTCAGAAGATCAGTGTGGACTCAACGGGCCAAATGGTCTGCTTCTACACATTGGGGATTCTATGATTCCAGTAACCCTTCATAGAGATTCCTCTGAATCTCTTTTCTCATTCAAAGTTTTGGCAAAGATCTGTAGCTTGGTTTGTGGGTGAGGTTGTTGACTTGCTCGCCGAGCTGGCTTGTTCGCATTCAGACGTTTTGTCACTATGCTAGGTGGCATCATCAGCGCAGCCTCCAATGAAGTGATATTATTCTACTCTGCTTGGAATTTATACTGTTTGGTCTGTTATGGTGAGTACTGTCATTTCCGGTTTTGATCTGTATGGGTTTGTGTAAGGTGTTTATGTTTGTATATAGCCTGGCATGGTGACGAAATGTCTGAATGAGAACAAGCCAGCTCGGCGAGCAAGTCAACAATCTCTTTCCTCATTCTCTCATCACAGTTAGAAATTGTAGATCCCAAGGCACTGATTTTCCAGTCAGATGGAACTTAGCATTATACTGCAGAACATTCAAATCATCGAAACAATCCCCTTTTACTTTCTCTGTTCCTGTGGAAACTGTCTCAATCTTATCCAGGTAACTAACCAGCTGACAACATCCTGGCCAATCTCTGAAAGAGATCAGTGATGCCATGTAGTATGGTGCAGTACTGCACTTTATGGTGCGGTGTGGTACAGTATGGTGAAGAGCAATACAGTGCAGTGCAGTATGGCCTGGTGCCATGCAGTACCTTGTGTTGAAGAGCAGTACAGAGTGGTGCAGTGCAGCACAATACGGTGTGGTTTAGTGCAGTATGTAGTGATGCAGTACAGTACAGTGTGGTGAGTGCAATATGGTGTGGTGCTGTGCTGCACAGTACAATGTTGTGTAGTACAGTACGGTGTGATGAGTGCAGTATGGTGTGGTGCAGTGTGGTACAGTGTGATGTAGTGCAGTATGGTGTGGTGCAGTGTGGTGTAGTGCAGTATGGTG